TATGCATATATAATTCATGAAGCATACCATTAGATTAACTCTATATTGATCAAACATCACAATAATTAAATAGGTTATAGAAGGCATATTTAACGTAACGTAGCTAATATAATAGTAGGTTATCTATTAAGTATTTGCTAATATCTAGTTATACTTAATTAGAGATTATGAGTTCCTTGTGGTTAATTATCTTACCATAAACTATTATGGTTAAAGGCATCATTTTTATAGAATTAGTATTTTTATGAAAGCCATCAAGAATTTATACATATATGAATGGGACTATAAAAGGCACCATACAATAGTGCCTTATATAATATATAGCACTATAATACTGGAATAGTTTAATCTCGATAGGACATATTATTGTTCATATATATCAAGTACTATATTGCTCTATATATGGGTTAGTATGAATTTAACAAATACTTTTAAATAAGGTAAATAAAAAATCTCTAGGTTAAATTTGCCCTTATTATATAGTTAGCAATATAATACACTCGTATAATAGGAACTATTGTATGGTGCCTTTTATGATAGTGTAATAAGGTCATATAATATACACCAAAATATAGAATTAGTAAAATAGATGATCAACTATTTAAACAATAGTTCTTTACAATTTAACCCTCCATGAATATTCCCTTATGTAACCAATAGGACATTAACCTCGATTAATAATAGTAATACTTATTCATTCTCAATTAGTAATGTGTACCTATATTATTACATCGATAATAGTTTAAACCATTACTACACTAATATCACTACTTAGACTATGAATGATATATAAGGATTAATATGAATACGTTAATTCCCCCTTTCCCTCGGATAATTCACAAGCCATAATCTTAGGCTAGCATATATGCACGTTGATGGTTATATTTATGTCTACAATAAACATAAATATAGGCATGTATAATGTTGATTATGTTCAACTTATTCCCTATATTGAGAAATCCCTATATTTTTCTTAATTGTCCTATTAATCTAGAGAATAGGTTTATTAATTATGCTAGATCATTTGATTCTTCCGAATAAGAATTGGCTACCCTTGATATCCTATTTTTATTATATCCTTCATATCTATAGGTTAACCTTATTGTATCACTATATAACTATGTATCAATTATGTATAGGTAAACAATAATACTATACTCTATTCTTAATGAGGAAGGGTACTCGTAGATATTATGATCTATCAAATAATCTAAATTATTTGCTCTTATTATAAGTATTATCCACTAGTATAGGATAACATATAAGGGACAAGTTGATCCTCTCTAACTAGTAGATTCGGATGGTCTATGTTTGACCCCATAGTTATCCCAATTGTATTAATATCATATATCCGAGGGATCCCATATCCCCTTAGTTGATATAATTCACCTCTTGAGAGAGAAGAAACGCTAAATGAGTCCACTCAACCATAAATATAATGGTATATATTTGAGTAATCTCCAATATCATACGTCCCCGATGATGGATAGGTAAAAGTACTCCCTCTATTGTGAACATGCAACAAAGTATCCCAATTAAACATAATTTAACCAGATTATCTTAATTGTAACTATTATAATGGGCTATGATAGAGTAAAATCATGATTAATGGCAATATCATATTAGACTAGGCTATCCCAGTGTTCCCTATCATTCATCTAATAGTATGTTTGGATATCATTTGGATGGAAAGTGGCCTTATTTTTTTATCACAATTAAATAGAAGGTGAATAGTCGTTTGTACCGAAAATACTCTATAATTTATTAATATTGATTCACTTGGTATTTAAATAGTAGGAATAGTGGACTAATGGCTTTGGTAAGGTTATGAGGTAGACATTAAATGTCAAAACTCTAATATATTCATTGATCTCCAATGTGCATGTCATAAGATATTATGTCATACTTCCAATACTATCCATCAATCCTCAATCCCGAACTTATATATCCTAGGAGTACATAATGTACACATAAATAAGTGGAATATACATAATTGATTGAATATTATATTGATGTTTCAATATTACCAATAATATTGAGTACTCATAATGTATTACATGGAATATTAGTGGATACATTATAGGGACGATTAACGGTTATTGCCATATGGTAATAGTGAATGATCAAAACAATATTATGATAAGGACATACTATTAGGATCATCTATATGTTATTACATGATAGGCTAGTTTATAGAATAGGCCCGATTATTCCAATCATATGAGATTTTTTATTACGAGTATAGTTAGCCATCAAAATGATTATAGGTTATCCAATATAGATGATAAACCTATGGTCAATGATATTAGGGATAAGGTATATGGCCTCCCCATTATTTTTAGCCTAAGCACGTATCATCGATTGATAATTGGCCCTAACTAGATAGATATTAAACCGAGATATATACTATTTAATCATAGGAATATTTAGGCAAATTCACTAATATTCAATAGGAGATACGTGCCTCATATATAATTGTTAGAGATCCAACAATCCTCTACCTACATTGAATACTATGACAAGTTAATATATGTGCAAGTTTTAGCTACCTCGTTAGTGTGGTAACCATTAAATATCATTTTATGACCATAATCACCAAATTGACACTATTATGGGATAGAGTCCCCTTTCATCCTATTAGGCATCTATCATGATAAGCCACTAAATAAGTGGAATATACATAATTGATTGAATATTGTATTGATCTTTTAGTATTACCAATAATATTGAGTCCTCATAATGTATTACATGGAATATTAGCGGGTACATTATAAGGATGATTAACGGTTATTGCCATATGGTAATAGTGAACGATCAAAACAATAATATGATAAGGACATACTATTGGGATCATCTATACATTATTACATGATAGGCTAGTTTATAGAGTAGGCTCGATTATTCCAATTATATGAGATTTTTTATTACGAGTATAGTTAGCCATCAAAATGATTATAGGTTATCCAATATCGATGATAAACCTATGGTCAATGATATTAGGGATAAGGCATATTGGCCTCCCCATTATTTTTAGCCTAAGCACGTATCATCTATTGACAATTGGCCCTAACCAAATTGATATTAAAATGAGATATATACTATATAATCATAGGAATATTTAGGAAAATTCTCTAATATTTAATAGGAGATACGTGCCTCATATATAATTGTTAGAGATCCAACAATCCTATACCTATAGTGAATACTATGACAATTTAATATATGTGTGAGATTTAGCTACCCCATTAGTGTGGTAACCATTAAATATCATTTTACGACCATAATCACCAAATTGACACTATTATGGGACAAGGTCCTCTTTCATCCTATTAGGCCTCTATCATGATAAGCCACTAGAGGCTAACTCATGTTGTTCCTACTTTAACTATAGTATTGTAAAGGTCATCCCCTAAGTATATTTGGGTTAATATTGTACGAGACCCGAATATACTTAAATATATTGTCATATTTCGAATGGTACCCATCAATTAATACATAAACTATGGTTACGTAAATATTATAGGCTTAGTATAATGGACATATTCAGGATGTATTAGGGTAGTAAGATATTGGTCAATTTCTCTAGAGAGTTAACATTAAATAGAGTAGTGTATCCTATTGGACCAATTTAATGTACTACCCTATCATATGTCACTCTCTAGAGAAATTCGAATTAAGCATTATCCCTTATTTATGGTACTAATGATAATTGAAGATAATGATAATTGAAGATACTATTGAATAATAGTTATACTAAAATGTCTAACTATTTATCCCGAAAGTGATCCGACTATAGATACCCACTAGTTAAGCCTCATTATCATGGCCTATAAGGTGATTTTAGGGTCGTCCTCTAAGTAATATAGTTAATTAGGTCCTATTTATATGTAACTATCCCTGTATAAACTAATTGTAATTTAGTATGGTCATCGGGGCATATACCTTTAGTACTATAGGATGTACCTTACTATTGTTAAGTAATTTAACTCTTCCTAGATGTTATGATATATATTAATGCAGGGCATTATGTAGTATAATATTTAGGGACGATTTGTTGGATAACCCCCTAGATAACTTAAAATTGGCTAAACCATTTATATTACTTTGTCTTCCAATAGTATACGGATAACCATTACATAAACCATTTAATGTAAATCAACCTATTATTGCCTAATATTACCAGGTATCTCTAGGACCAACTATATTGGCTTATCATGGCATAATTGGTTAATTTAAAAATGATATCCGCTCCCATAGACTGATGGTACAACTATAGTGATAGGCCTTATCATTACTATATTTAGGCTTCTAATATAAGCATTTGATACCTTTTTTACAGTAACAGCATCCCTTGAAAGGCACCTAATACTATTAATTACAAGCCCAATTCTATGAACTTTACATCATTTCCCACATCAATAGTATCATCATAAGGTAATATTGATGAAAGGCACCCAATCCCAACAAATAGGGATGGTATAATAATAACTCCTATTGTCGACCTAGGATGTATGAATAGGACATCTATTAGGATGAGTATTATTACAATAATATGAGACATCAGGTACCATTATGCTATAAGGAATGATATATTATTGATTATATAATTGTTACAATCTAATGGGTAAGTCGATATTTAGTTTAAAGTATGACCATAGTTGATTCTTGCCATTATGTATCAAATAATCAATAATATCACTAATATTACCATGGGAATATATTACCATGTTCGAGGAATAGACTCTTTATTCATATATTAGCCATCTCAATATAAAAACTTGTTATGACCTAATAACAAGGTAGTAGTCACCCTAATGTCGTATATAGATCATGTAAATGACTAATTTGGTAATTATCAAATATTGAGTCCATTAAATATGATATAATTATCTCACTATGATTACGACCCTAAAAGGATCCATTAATCTACAATTTTATACCCATTAATTATCAAACTAATTTTAAACTTATCTATAATAGTTTAGGGGAGAATATTGTACTTTCGTAGGACATTAGCCCTTAATGAAAGTGTTTTTAATTGGCTGTATTCCTCACAATTAAACATATAGGTATAGAATTAAGAGAATAGATGATATCAACTATCAATTATTTTTGCTATTATATAATATTATGGTAGAGTGAAAATAGTTATCAACCATATTTTTTAAGAAAACGGGAACTAATACTACATGTATTTGGTTCTAATACGTATTGGCCAATGCTCATACATGGTGAATATAATATTATTCGGCTAATTAATCTCCTACTAATATCTATTAGGAATGGGGGAATATAACCTAAGGCATATCCTATAATAGTTATCAATACTATATGATATAAGCTCTAGTATCTTGGAGTCAGATATAGCCATAAGGTGTACAATAAGTCCAGCAGTACAATTAGCGTGGTATAGTTATAGATATTAGATTCTTAATGGGCCAAGGGATTGAACCATAGTTAATATAAGATTATCAGCGACGTATGGTTTTGTCTCATGATTAACCATACCTTAACCCATAATATATGGTAATATGTCCTGAGATATGAATCAACATAGGGTACATTGTATACTAAAAGATATTTGTAAAGTATGGATTAATATTCTTGTCAACCGATATGCGATTGGGTCTTGTTATAATGAGCACCTAACAATAGTCCATCATAATGGGCCACAATTAAATAGCCATAAATAGATTGACATGGGGAATATTATAATTGTAAGTATTTGATCCCGTAAAATATTACCTTTGATTTAGCATATGTACGGAGACATAATAATGATAATCAATTAGGCTAGATTAGATTTACATAGTAATTACACGTTTAACAACCTTACTCTTACTGATGAGCTAATTTGGCCCTCTTCCCCCAGGATCCCATATTGGTCACATCATAAGGTATATACCAATTCATTTAATATCATTCATAGTTATTCATGTTGTCGGTTGATATTTCACGAATACCCTTAATTATGTTGATCACATCTATCACGTTGATATTTCTATAGTAGCTCCTGTATCATAACAATACTATAGGTAATAATCATTATTGCATATAAATAGTCTATTCTATAATTATAGACTTTATATGATATCAATAGATTATAGGAGTAATACATATTATAGGAGTAATATGTTAAGGATCATAAAATAACCCCAATCTTCTTTCAAATTTACACTACCAATGTTCAATTATAAGGTCCTTATATTGGATCTTGAGCAATATAGTACTTGATATATATGCATCAAGAGAAAGTATTTATCATGACTACCCCTATTTTTTACCCATTAGTGCACTATAGTGATACTAACTTGGTATATATGTAAATGAATTAAGAATATATGGTAGTGTAAATTTGTATTAGTCGCCTATTTTATCCGGTGTGCCATTAATAAATAACGGTTTTATGAACCTATTTGGTCCCCTATGGAATAATTATCCTACTAAATTCTAAGGGAGTGTTACTATTGATAATGAATCAAATATTGTTCCCCCTCCTAAAGGGTAATACAAAAGTTTAGAGACCTAATGTAGTATATAGTGGAATGTTCATCCGTCCCTCCCATTGAGCGGCAAGATCATTATCCTATACTAAAAGGCATGTTAAGGGGCTTTTCAATATAGTTATATAAATGATAGTATTGACATTATCTCCAACCAAAGGTATGGATGGATTAAAGATAGGATAGTTTACACTCTAACGATTTAATACCCATGTATCTATAATTTAATAGGATATATATAATATCTTACAAGGACATAGTAGAGTTAATTTTATCATTAGGTTATATTCAAACTATTTGGAGATAGGAGAGTTTTTAATACACATGGGCCTATTAAAGATAATATATTGGTTATTTATATTAGCAATTATGCCTATTAATCTGTTAAATAATATCTAATGGTTATTTATAAATTTATGATCGCTCGAGTTGGTGATCTCTCAAATAAGAATGACCTAATGTATTCCTTTGGATTTACTCATTAATTTAAAGAGATAGTACAAATGGGTTAGTAAGCTATGTTATTAAATTGGGTAATATAGTTTCCTATTTTAGGCAAATCAATTATCAATTGTGATTATGTATCTTATTGTAACAAAGGAGGGTTATCCAATTGGATGAACCAAATAATGGCCTCTACTATCTCCTTGTAAGATAGTATTCCATTTTTCCCTAATTAATATAGATACTTATATGTATCTATAGGATGTTCCCTATCATGAACATGGACAAAATATTGATAGGTTATTTAGATGACCTATGAATATTTTGACCTTAATATTTTTTAATTTGTTAATAGATCCAACTTTTTGAGATGTGTTTATCAAATTAGAATAATAAGTCTATGATAGAACATGGGCAAAGTATCTATAGGCTGGAGTATGAACATTACCTTCCATAAGAGGAACCACATCCTACAATATTCGTGATAGAATATTGATTAGTAGTGAGCCTAATAATCTTATGGAGCTATCTCGGGACTCGGTATTAGGCTATTGCCTTATTGAACTTATGGTCACCTAATATTAGTGAATATCATGCCATAAGGACCCTTAATATCGAGGGAATATTAACAAAAATAGGTATAATACCGTATAGAGGTTAGGGCACATATAGGATATTAGATAGGGGACTTCGACTATCAATGTCAATGAGATATAATGGGTGGTCTTATCGGGTTATATATTGGGAAACTATCTTACTACTCACATATACCTCTTATATATAGAGTAATAGAGATTACTCATATCTACCGGATACCAATGATATAGATAGGTATTAGATGACTCGAATATGGATTACTCATATCTACCAAAATGTAAGTGTGGAGGTGCACTTAGTAATCGGTAGAGATATGGTGCCTCCATCAAGTTTATATATGGTAGATATGAGTGATTCAATATTTTAATAAGACCATTTTGTAGGTCCATTATTACATTTTGGTCTCGATAATAATGTCGTGTCCCTCTCATGATCATAATTTACAATATTTAAGTATTACTATCTTAATACTTATATTGGGAACAAATTGATTCACTTGGTATTCAACCTTTAATAATCACACTATTATGGAAATTAGAGTTAAATATGTCACATAGATAATCCCACGTTCCATTGGATAGAATATGATCTTATAATATATGATACGTATGCCCCTCTTTGTTCGAAGGGGAGAATACATGGTCTAATTTGATATTTAGAAATTATATAACTCCATTGATTGAGGATTATAGGCTTTAATTGAACTGATACTATTTAGGTACCTAAAGGAGGATATCCGAGAGTTATTAGTATTAATGGGACCAATATTATAATTGGTTAAACCATCTTATTTCCATTGTCATTATGACTAATTGTAATTATGATTGAGGTGTTAACCAAAGGATACAAGTGATCCCACTTATTATATCAAGCATTTCCCTATTATGCCCATAAAATATATTGACAAAGGAGTATATTTTTAATCTATAAAAAGGTAGTACAAATGGGTTATAACAAACTCACCTTGGACCATTTTTATTGGTAAAATAACCGAATAAGTATTTAACAATTTTAGGTATTTATAAGGGTTAGTCAATAATATTTACCCTTAAATAATCCATTATTACTTATGGATTATATAAGTAACAATAGGCCCCTAGTTTGCACGGATATAATGAAAGGAATCCCAATATTAACATAGCATTTAATTGTTATAACATTATATGATAGAATTAATTATTATAAATACGGGCTACATTTAACCTACAAGGGATAGGATGGCTTGGTTAAGTATATAGGGGATACTCTATTGATTTTATTATAATTAATATGGTTATGTATAACATCAATAGAGTTATATAATTGATTATCCTACTAATACAAGTTAATAGGTAATAATGCTAATAAGGTAGAGCCAAGTTCACTAAAGATAGCTATCATTATAATCCCTTTTAATTAAGAAATAAATTGTTATACTAATTGATGGCCCTCATCAACTATTATGTTTTCTAATTTATCCTCATATGAATAGAGTAATCACATTTTATTAATGCCATGATATATTTAATAAACTCTTAAAGATTGACTATTAGGTTGAATGGGCGTAACAATCTTTTTCATATGAGGAATATGTTAGTCAACCTTCACCAAATGCATTTCCCTAAATTTAATATAACTATATCATGATACCTCTATCACTTAAGGTTAACCAATCATAATCAGCAGATAATTCAAAATTAAAGCTAGTTAACCATATATATGATCTATCATGGGAGGATATTTCCCACTTATACATAATCCAAGATAGGATGAGGGTGTTGGATGAGCTTATCATGAAGGCTTGAATGAACTAAAAGTATATCTTTGTTATGTTATGAATTATACTAATAAGTTAACCATCAAAGTCTTATTACCTATGCAGAGAATATAATTATCTTTTCTCAACTCCGTAAATACTTATAGGGCAAAATTGAGACCTAGTATTGGGACCTAGTATGCATAGATAATCAATCATTATGTCAAAATGATATGGACTTATAATTGGTACCTATTTGGCCTAAGACCACTTTGGTGATTACAGATCTAAATTCTTTAGTAGAGAGATGTAAAACCTCTATTAATTTAAGCTACCTAGTTGTCTCCCTCAAGACTAAACAATGGTAATATATATCAATGGCAAATGGTATTTCTCTAAGGACTTTAGAGGTTAATTTGTATATAGTTTGTGGTTATAGAGTAATCACATTTTTATAACATTACCCACTTATAGATGTAGGCTAACTAGCATTTACACTTATACCTAGATTCAATAATATGCTCCTCATAGATGAATTAAGGGATACAATATAAGGTAATATCTAGTAAAGGTTATTTAGAGTATTCTCTTATCCCACAAGGAGTCAAATACCGTTCTCTTATATGTATAATTCAAGAACATTACCATAATCTTCACACCTATTAAGATGTGTAAAGGTCTAAATAAATTAGGCATGATAAAGTATTATATCTAGGCTCAATTGTCCCTTATCGTAGATAAGGGTATTGCAAGAAACGGTATAGGTTGCCATAGATTCGCACATCCCCTTATTGATAATAGGGTTTATCAATTCAATATTAGGGGTAATCATGATTTGTACTTTTCAATAAGCATAGTCTCCCCTTCAATCAAGATGATAGGGTAATATAGTCCCCTCAAAAGCCCCGTCTCCTTATTGACATCATTAAGGCTAAATATGTTTTATTAGGGAGAGAGGGAGATCATGCCTCTACTTATCTCGTTTTCTCTATCCACCATAGTGGATTGATACTCGAGCATCTCCATATGTTAAATTAGCTTAATACCTATGCACAATATATTAAGAATGGGGAGACTATTGTTAATATTGGCTCGATATGACCTTAATCTCCAACATTAATAATCGGCCAATTAAAAGATGGAGTTAGGCCATTATATACCACTATTTTTATTGGATGATAATATTTGGGTAGTGAATATAATAATGCATAGATTAGTATAAACTTAGTTTCTTCTAAATGATTCTTCCATTAGTGAGATTAATGCCCTAACTAGACCACGATGAGGAAGATTACCCCATTCATCCTAACCTATACCCGAATATTATCATCCAATAATTAGGCCCCTTATTAAGTTGTATTAACACTTGAGCTTGAGCTTGTTATTTGACCTAACTCAAATAACTCAATCATAGAACTTTAGTATAAGTTTGTTAATACAAACCTCCACGTGGATACACTACTTCATAAATAATGTATTAGGACCAATTTAATATACTCTTATTTCCTTCATGGGAATTATTTGAGTTACTAGGTGGATTAACATCTCAAATATTATAATAAAATATTTTTTATAGTTCAATAATATCAACCTTACTGATGAGTATCAATTTGTAAATATTGGTCATCTATTTTAAGGAATATATTTAATATATATGTGGGGAATATTGTATATAGTATAGATTATATTATGATAAGGAGTACCCCTCTAATCCATTAGCATATATACCTATATTAGTCGGTGTTCACCATCATCAATCATTTTCGATTTAATTTTTAACTATTGCCCTAAAATATGAGTTCATTATTGGCTATAAAGAGATATTGATACCAAACGATAAGAGTTATCCTATTGACCTTAGGTATTTGACCTTAGGGTGGTCCAATAGTAATATATAAAGAGCGGCCTTAAGCCAATAATATTTTTATGATTTCCTATTTATGTGGAGTTTAACGTATCTTATTATATTTGAATAATATTATAGTAATTTAATATTATCCAAGATCATATTGATTCAGTTGGTATTCAAACATGTAATTTACTAATAAATGAATAACTAACCTAGTATGGTATTCAAATATTGGTCAAGTAACGTTATAAAGGGTATATACCTCTCAATAATGGTACATCAACAAAACACTTTATACCATTATGGTGTAGTATAGAGTGAACTTCTAATTCATTTCAAAATTATAAGATGAATGTTTATTAAATTATTTAAAGGTTAAAATGTCATGTTAATATATTTCTTTTGAGAGAGATTGGTTATAATTGAGGAAAGGTGTCCGACATAGGAATTATAAGATATCTATAAACTATAGGTGGAGAGATACTAACCTTGTTTCACCTTATAATAGGGGTATCTCTCTATTTCTAGAATAGTACTATATTTAATGGGATAGAATTACCATGGTATTTTTATATGGGCTCTCAAGCACAAAGGGAAAGGAAGGGTTATTGAAAAAAATTGCTTATGGAATACATTACGGACATGTTTGTAAGCATTGGGCCATTATCTTTTGATATGGCTTAATTATGTATAATTCTATCCCATAATACATTGTTGCTAGTATAAATAAAGGAGTGAGGATATAACCATTAATTATCAATTGATTATTGCAATACCCATGGTCAATAGTATTATACACTATGTTCCGGGCTCAACCTCACTATAATATTATTGTATACCAAAGAGTTAAACATGAGGGAATCCAATTGATAAGCCATAAAGTTATAGACATTATAAAGTACTCAATGAGAACTATGGAGTTTAAGCCTATGATCAAGGGTGAATATTAACCTTACTATAAACTTAGTCAATACCGTTTGATATATAATTTGAGGTGATAACTAAAACCATAGCAATCTTTAAAGATTCATGATAACCATACACGTATGGGTATGATTATAACTAGTACGATAGACTAGGCCTACCCTCCTTTTCTCCCAATTGAAAATTGAGAGAAATGATAAAAATTATGAAGACATTATAATCCTAGAGAAATTAATTCACTAAGAGGGCTAGTCTATTGATTTATACCATATTGTTAATCATTTAACTAGTACCCCTATATGATACATTGATGATCTTGGTTAATAGATAACCATTTAAGGGCCTAGAACATAGTGTACCCTCTTATCGGGAGTAAATAATAAGAATGATTATATACAAATAAGGATGGCTATTCACTTTTTAATATTTATGCTAATAATCATATCCACTGTTATTTAGATGTCTACAGTTTCATAAGGTTGCAATATATTCGGGTATATCTTATGCAAAATAAAATAGCCAATTATTTTATGATATATCTATTGTTCATATGGATAAAATGATGGAGATGGCCTGATATTATTCCCTATTAAGACTATCACAAATGATAAGATAAAAAAGAATGGAGTATCTCGTATACACAATTTGGCCATCCATAAGTGTCCAACGTGATAACTATTATTGGTGATAGTTTAAATATGAAAATAACAATAATACTTTGTTGAATCCAAAAGTTAAGTTTGGATGTTCCTATAGCTATACTACAACTAGAGGAATAAAATAGCTCATTCTTCCTTTCCCTCCTATTTATTGATAATAATAATAACCATATTATTATTGATTAATCTAGTTTAATTATCTAATAAAATAGGAAGGGGAGTTAATATACTAGAATATAGGGATATAGATAGGTTAATTATCCTATTCTTAGTGATCAACTAATATTGAGAATCTTTTCATTAGTTATAATACATTGATGATCTTGGTTAATAGATAATTAATTAAGAGCCTAGAACATAGTGTACCCTCTTGTCAAGAGTAAATAATAAGAATGGTTATATACAAATAAAAGTGGCTATTCACTTTTTAATATTTATTCTAATAATCATATCCATTGTTATTTTGATGTCTAAAGTTTCATAGGGTTGCAATATATTTAGGTATATCTTATGCAAAATAAATAACCAATTATTTTATGATATACCTATTGTTCATATGGATAAAATGATGGAGATGGCTTGATATTATTCCCTATTAAGACTATCACAAATGATAAGTTAAAAATGAATGGGGTATATGTATACATAATTTGGCCATCCATAAGTGTCCAACGTGATAACTATTATTCGTGATAGTTTAAATATGAAAATAAGTTGATCCAAAAGTTAAGTTTAGATATTCCTCTAGCTATACTACAGCTATAGGAATAAAATAGGTCATTCTCGCCTTTCCCTCCTATTTACTAGTAATATAATAACCATATTATTATTGATTAAGCTAGGTTAATTATCTAATAAAATAGGAGAAGGGAGTTAATATACTAGAATATAGGGATATAGATAGGTATTAGTACCCTTTAATAATAACCTAAATATTAATCTTAAAGAAGTATACTAGAATTTGATAGGTGATAAGTAATATACATCTCCTTAGATAATTAGTGATTAATTACCACTATCAAAGCATGGATGTGGATACTTAGATAAGATTATATTAAATTGGTCCTATTACATTATATATGAAGTAGTGTATCCACATGGAGGTTTGTATTAATAGACTTATACTAAAAGTCTATGATTGAGTTATTTGAGTTAGGTCAAATAGCAAGCTCAAATGTTAATACAACTTAATAAGAGGGCCAATTATTAACTTACAATCAAATAAGTATCTCCCTCTCGTTATTACAAGAGTTGAAATAATTAATGAGTGCCCACTCAGTTTATTACTAACCGTATGATATTGATATCACATGTCCTTTTATTCTAATATGATAAACACATCTCTTAATTTCCAGTACCACAACTATTAGTGAACATTAATATATGATGAATGTCTCTGCCTATTAATTGAGATTATTTATTCATTAGGAATTTCGATGAAAGAATTAAACTATCTTTAAAATAGATTAAAGATAATGGTCTCCAATGGGCTAAAATAATTAGCAAGGATACTTTTCCCATGTTCTATCAACGATACCTTTATAAGAGCAGTTATGGACTATTATCACTATACCATGATAGTACATAAGCATACCTATAAGCTGGGACCATAAATAATTAGGACTGATATGGTAATATAATAACTAATATTGTGTAAACTATATCTCAATATTTACCTGAGGTTCATAATAGGGGGCCTATAATCTAAGGAATACTCTTTTGGGTTATCATTCTTAACTGATGTATATTAATACAAATCTATAATAGTTAACTAGCTAAGATAGTGGATTAAATTAGAACTCTAAATCAATAATTATGATAATATATTAATCACTTAGGCTAATACCCTATTAGTATATTAATAGTGCCCCTATATTTTATTACACTAGGATGAATTGAATCAATTAGAGAGAGCCTAATATATTAAATTGTTAATAATTATAATATATTACCTAGTCTCGGTAATCTCTACGCTTATTTCTAGGAATCTCCTTAATTGATTACCCTAATAATCACTTTTATCTCATCTATTTCCTTAAGGAAGATAATCTATTAACCAACGTTATAGGGGTCGAATGGGAAATAGAGGATAAAATGAGTATTGTCAATATATAGTTGAGAATGGGGGAAACTATAGGTGGGACCATTTGGTATTAATATTTAAGGGGAACCAACTCCTTTATGGAATATTATTCTGAACGTAATCAGTATTATTAGGTACCATGATATTTTGGCATACTATATTAATTTTACTAGCAATTCAATTGCGTAGTGACTGATATTGACCTTATTAGTCAACCCTATCCAATTTAATGCATTATTTACTCCCTATATTCCCTATATTGTGGTTAGCCTAATTATCATGTATTTATTATAGAGTTATGCAATATTTTCCCTTCCAAGATTATTGGGCCCAAGTTAACTTGAGGATCAAGTATGCCAGCATGGTAAATACAATGTTTACCAAATAAGCTAATAGATTAGTAATATTCCTACAATATTATTGGGCTAAACTGTACAAATTAAATGGCTATAAGGATCAGGTGAGAATATATTACCCGATCAATACTTTGCCTAAATCCTTATATTTTAGTTAGGAGATATCCAATTAATGGTTATCGACTATACTCTCTTATCTATAATTACTACATTTTTGTAATACCATGAATATTATTTGATGATTTCCATCGATATGGTAATTCCATAATAGAGAATTCTCCTAATGCTTTTAATATAATTCATAGTTGTTCATGTTGTAGGTTGATATTTAACCTACAACATGAACAACTATGAATAATATTAAAAGCATTAGGAGAATTCTCTATTATTTAACCTACAACATGAACAACTATGAATAATATTAAAAGCATTAGGAGAATTCTCTATTATGGAATTACCATATCAATCGAAAGCGTCAAATAATAGTTATGGTATTTTGGTAATCCCATAACTATTATTAAAATACCATAACTATTATTTGATGCTTCCCATCAATATGGTAATTCCATAATAAAGAATTCTCCTAATGCTTTTAATATCATTCATAGTTGTTCATGTTGTAGGTTGATATTTCAAGGATACCCTTAATTGTGTCGATTTAAATGCAAGTGTAATCACAACATCACTATATAATACAATATAGGAGGCTCCTTTGATATAGTATCTTCCTAATAACCTACAATAGACTAGAATATCATTGTTGGCTCATAGAAATTTCCTATATTGCATAATATATTAATGATGATATCAGTATAGAGATAATTGGGGTATCAAGTAAATAGAGCCTTCAATTATAATCAATTTATGCTCATTCGGGTCAATGGTGCACTATGAACATCTCCATAGGAATGGCTAACTATATTTTCCCATAGTATAATCTTAGAATGTTCATAAGTTAAAAATTGATTATGCTAGTAACTCTACCTAGTTAGTTATGCCTAACATATTCCGTTAATGGAGATATCTTTTCTCCGTAGCATTGAAATATTCGGTCCACACTATCCCTTTAATAGATATCTTTTCTCTATAATAATACTGATTTGATTAACATTATCACGAGCTATATCACTCGAGATCTTTATTCACAGTTACTTAACCATATAACCTCATAACAATTTGAGGGTTATTTACTATAATATGGTTATTTCATTTAATGAGGATCCATTATTGTCCAAATTAGTCTATTAACAAGAGATCTCGAAATATATTCACGTTAGATCTTTTAGTTTACCTTCTCAACAGCCCATGATCATTAGAGGAATATATTTAATAGGATAGTATTGTGCCCACTTGATAGGGATATTTACAATATGAACCACCTTATATTAGTCGAAGGCATATGTCCTCCATCCTACCTTTATTAATTATTATCATGAGGATTATTACATATAATTATTTTATCCTAAGAATAAATTTGATCATGTTATACCTCCGAATCACCGTAATAAGGTATTCTACGAATTTATCATACCTAATATTCATAGGATAATGAAGATATTTCCCTTTAATGATAATTAAAAGGCACTAATTAGGGTAGTATAATGGTATATCCCTAAACCATAGTTTACTTTTTAGAGGGAATTATAATAGTGATTATTCTCCTATTAAGGAATTATTACAAAAATACTATGAGGGGCTAGACTTGTGTGATAAATGTCTAATATGACTATGAGCTTATATAGAGATATTATTGTGGGATTGTATCTCGTACTATTGGATATAATTATGCGTCATTAGATCTTATTCCTCTCTTATAGATCCACGTAGAAATGGACAACCCGTTTACCCTAATATCATCGCCCCTAAAAAGGCTAAGAGATTATTCTCATATTACGCACATATTATCCCTTGGAGAGAATATGTAACTCGTGTGTATCTTACAATATCACAAGATATTTACAACCCTAAATAAGAATAAATCAAAGGTAAATGAATGGTAATCACTTTAGGTTGGGGGGATTCATATATGGATTAAATATGAATATAAAACCTTATGCTCTATCTTTATAATGGGTAAAGACGTTTTAGATACACCATACTCATTATAATGTCATTGGATATGTGACATAATACTTGATATGAAGAAGAGAGGGAAATATTACCGATGAATATCTATTCTTATTATAATCATTTTTTAAAATCAAGTATAAAATTAACCATGCTCGCCGTTTATCCGAGCAATATTATCGAAATAATCAATAGGACTAATGGAGGCCTAACCTTTGGTCACCTTATAGATAACATGGTATATTGTTAATGGAGTAATTAGCTACTATTAATAGTACTATATTCCGAGTACATTAACATAGTTGATATAATTGGTCTATGATCCCTACTATGAGTGATCATACCATTTAACCGTATATTTATATTATAGCCTCCATTGGGGTTTATATGGAGAGTAATTATAAGGGAAAACTCTATCCAAGTGATAATATACCTATCCATTTATTAGATAATAATGTCATGTTATGATAATTTTCACAATATCTATATTATAAAAATATTATCATATAGGAAGATAAGGAACCAATTTAAGGTTAGAAGGTACTCCAATAGAGGACTCATTATAACTATCAATTGTAATCATTACTAATAATCAATGGATATTAGGTCCCATGTAATGAGGTGGTGAGCATGATAGTGGCCATTCTAATGGATAAATTGATGGCTAATAATCTTTTCTCGTATTAGGGAAACAAGGTTAGAGTATATCAGCCCAAGATAGTCACCAAAATAGCTATAATTATGCCTCATATAACCCTTATTTATAGAAAGGGTTCATGGTCTATTATAGGCCTTAAGTTTAATCTAAGAGGATAGGAACCATGTTTGTTAATTGGTAACTTTACTAAGTTCATTATCCGGACAATAGATTACTCTTGATATCTTTATGCTTACATGGTTCTCATGGGAATTATATTGGACATTGATCAATATGTCATTAATAAACTCGGTAAAGTTATCAATTAACAAACATGGTTCCTATCCTCTTAGATTAAACTTAAGGCCTATAATCTCCTATAATGGCTAACTAAATTAGCCCTAACTAATTTATATAATACTAATATAAACTAGGCATATCGACTAACCCATGATTAAATTAATATAATATTTGAGGGCCATATTACATATGAGAAGGATCCATAATCTTCTAATTTCCCTATCATATCATGTAATAAATTATGGAAATGTAGAATTGACCATGTTAATACATATTTCAACTAACCTAAGATGGATATCATCCCCTAATCAAGATATTTGATTATAAACCCATGTATCCTATAGGTGATTCACCATTTTAGACACCATACTATTAGCTCATTCTCCCTAGTCAAATAGTTTAATACGAAATCAATCATATTAGATATATGTCTTATATTGGATAAGTAAAGAAAATGTTGGTTATGCATAATCATTGAACATATTTTTATAGGTTTACACTTGCGGTTGAGTCATATCCTCCTTAATTAGGAATTACCGAGTAGGTGGGAATTTACTTAACTATTTACCATTGTAATCTATATATTTCCCTCTTTATGGTTTATAATAACATTCTCAATTATTCTTTTAAAGGACATAAACATAGTTATGTAATCTGCGTAACAATATGCCCCTCTTAGGTACGCTAAATCCCGATATTTTTCATAATATAATAAAGAGAATTTAAGTTATACCATAAAATTGTAACCCTATATAATAACACTACCGATGGTCGCATAAGCGATTAGGTTATATTGTATGGTTCATTATGGGGTTAAATTGTTTTTTTTTAATCACTTAGATAACAATGAATAAACTACATCGTAAGAGCCATGCCTTTGATAAAGTAGTTTACAATATATAAGCGTATTATGAATAGATAAGAGTACACGTCATATAACTTAGTGATAATGTGAGGGAGGGAATAACTTCGATTACAATGGGTATGACACAATGAATTCTTGATTGATCCTTAAGTACACTATCACCACAGTAATTACCATGTGCATAGAGGTCCTCTCCTAAATACTTACATCACGATAGTCAACCCTTTTATATCCCATAAATATACTTAAGAGTACATTACTTGAAATAAAACCAATGTTTAAGTTGAGCTTTACTATATGTTATCGAAGTATGCTATTATGTATACTATATTTAATTGGGATCAATATGTTTGATAGTATGCATATGCTTAATGTCTAATAGGTCATATCTCATCATATTGGGTATATTCGGACCATCATTATAGGTTATGAGATACACAACCTCGCTCTTCACTTACAAATTATCGTGGTATTATATGAAAGGTGATACCTTAGCAAATGTAATACTATAGAGTAGGTTGCTTATTCTCACGTATTGTCCCGGATAGTTATATCAAAACGATGGAGACACTTGAATAGTCATGCTAATTGTACATTAAGAACAATGAACTCTTCCTCGGTTGATAACCGATGTATACTATTAGTTAATTATAGTATAATCTGGGCATATACCCTTATATAACTCACATAAGATGGGTAAAAGAGGGAGTACATATCCGACCATGGTCCCATAAGCTCATATAATAAATAGGTTCTCTAATCATTATATAAGGAGGGATATGATAATTGATCCTATATAAGTTTGAAGATATCCTTCAATAATATTTAGGATAAAACACTAAAATATCCTCACTACATATTCATATATTCACTAAGTAATACTCTAAAAGGATCCATAATTTTACACCTTTGCATGTATAACCAATATTCCTCTGATACTAGTAATATATTATTAGTTTATGCTCATTAGTCTAAGTGATGATTGGATTATATCACCATGATTGACGAGTGTCTATAGGATCACAATAATCTTAGAATGGTCGAAGATATTCCCTTTATCATAACTAGTGATAACATTAGATAAATTAACCCTTACTCAAACACTCGTTACCAAGTCCTATTCTTAATTGATTTTTAAGAATACTATTTGTTTAATAAAGAGTTAGTGGATACGGTCCCTTTCATAACTCGAGCACTTATATTGTGCACTCTTAACCTCTCCACCTATTTTTCTAGTAGGGATGGAGGGATCAACTATAAATCTCTTAATTTGGTTATGATATATTATACCGATAATTAAAGTTAGGATTACTATAATTTTATATTTCCATAGTGGAAATAATATTCTCATGTTATAATACACCATCATCTTATAGATCGGTCCCATCTATAGTTGATCCCTCCATCCCTACTAGGGGATTACAATGGGCCTATTATAATTATAATATAACATAACAATATATCATTACGGAAGAGTAATAGTACATGCTACTTGGACCATCACTAGTTTTATGGTCTATCAGGTATAGTGGATAACCTATAATACCTATCTTGTATAATTATTACATTTGGTAAGTATGCATTCGACGGTTTAGCCTCAACATGATAATCCTTTGGTCAAGCATATTACTATTGTCCCATAGTAATAGACTATTATCATGAATATCCATCACTCGATATTCACAATGTAACCATTGGGTGGTAATATTGCTATGTTATCAAGCTATTAGAGTGGACTCGTGTGATAGAGCCCCCGTTAACATTGAAAACATAGGGGAGACCAAGCTAATGTTCGTCAAGGCATATCAACATAATGATATTACAATATAGACCATATTATAACCCATATTAATCATGGGTCATAATATCGTCCATGTTGACATAATTAGAAACATATTTTATAACTAGTAATATATTTACACATTATATCCCCATTGATATTATAGAATAGGTATTATGCTTTGTCAAAAAAATTATATTGATAATAATCGGTTCCCAAGTAGTAAGCCTTAATTCTCTAGGGATATTGTTTACACATTCTATATAGTGTGTCATTTAACCAATAGTTTCTATTAAAAATAATATGTGGGTGAAATACATGGAGATATGATACCTCCACGTATAAAGGTTGGAGTGAACATCTTGGAGGTAATTCTCTTACTAAGGAAAGTCGATAATATAACCTTTTATAGTTAGGGGAAATACTAGTTACCAATGGATAAATAACGATAATTGGATATTTATACTAGCAATTATGCCTATTAATCTGGTAAGTAATATCTAATGGTCATTTATAAATATATGATCACTCACGATAGGTGATCTCTCAAAGAAGAGTAAGGGTCATTCCTTCGGTTAAGTGAAATCCTAGTTAACGAGTTAATAGAGTAATATGATTAAATATATAGGTCAAAACTAAATAATACTATTTAGTTAGTAAATAGTTTTATGGAGTGCATTAATATGGTCCCCATATATTTTCATCAAAAAATAACATTACCCAATCAATATCCATTTGATAGGCCTCGGCCATTAAGTGGGCATGATATATCCATTATAGGAGGTTAATCTAGGGTAATCTTATATGGGCCACTATTAGGATGAACATCAAAATCCTTCTATATTACTTATGAATGGAACCATATGTATATTATTACTACTAAATTAACTAATTAGCTCTTAATATTATATGAATATACTGATTAGCCCGAATGTCTAATCATTACGAATGGTATACTATCCTTAATTATGTTGATTTAATATTATATTAGGGTAGTACACTAATATATGTCACTCTCTAGAGAAATTCGATCAATCGGTAATTAGGGAAGTTTATAATAGGAAGATGCCCTTAACATTTATAGTTGATCCCTCTGTTAGATAATTTATGTCTTTAAGGTAATATTCATCGTGCATATATAGGGATCTATCATATAAATGGAATAGCATTTAGTGGCATCTTCCTACCGTATATGCCACTTACCAATAATCATCTATTCATGCCTATGTATTAGTAATATGTCACTCTCTCTTGTATATAGGTCCTTATCTCCAATACTAATTATGACTAGAATACGTACTATCGATTGTGATTATTAATACGTAGGCGGATCATGTGCTAACCACCTAGTATAACACCTATGCAATTGGATAGCTTAGACTTTGATATCAATATTATAGCCATATTAATCTAATTAGGGTTGATAGTGAAGATATTTCACTTATTCCTATTTGGCTAAAAGGGAGATTATTCATACACTACTCTTGTATGATTAAACTTATGACCATATTATCATAAAATAACCTAATAAGGGCTATATGAAATGACTTATACTACATCATCGATATAACGAGAGGTTGAATAATTGATGTCCCACCATAGTATATAACACATAAATGCTATTCCATTTATATGATAGGTCCTAATAGTATGATATCAATAATGGATATACAAATTTAGATAACACTATTTTCCTCATATATGCATATTTAAGTTGATAACATAATCCCTTCAGTTATCCCATGATTCAAATGTTAAAAATGAAGGTGGAGTAATACATGATAATCCAATATCCCTATTCTCATATCAATTTAGACATATACATGCACATATTTTATATGATGACATTAACCCATATTACACCATGATAAACCTTGGCGATATGTTTTACTAAATTATGTTGATTATATGGCTATATCCCATCTAAAAAATATTATGCTATTTAATTAACAATGTCATATCATAATATACCCTAGGGTATGATAATACCTATTAATATTTGTTAATATTAATATCAAAGGATACCTTCGATAAGTAGGGAGATTACTTAATAGCTCCCATTCTAATAAGTAGGGGAGACTACATTTGATATTTACCAACTTCAATATAATAAATCTACATCCAAATTTACTTTCCATCTAGTTAGTAATTACCTCAAATTATGTCCCTATTATATTACTCATATTATGGCCAAATCCATAATACTTATATTCAAGGAAGGTATGTTATGAGTCATATTGATAACATATTAGAATATCAAAACTTGGATGATATCATATTAAATAGCTAATTCTTTATAAAGTCAACTTTTGGTCGTCAATAGGCCTTCTAATAACATATAGTGTTCAAAGCTATGATATCCTACAAATCCCCATATTATAGTATCAAATATAATTTGACTAACCACATTAACAAAAAGATTCATACCAATTATTATCTCTAGTAATGTAAGGTCTATTATCATCCAAATTTACTTTCTATCTAGTTAGTAATTACCTCAAATTACTCTGCCCATCAACATGGTATAATAGGGAACTATATAAAGATAATAGGTCTATTTACTATAATATATCGTTTGGATAAAAGTAATTAGGATTTATTATCCCTAATCAAGAAATTAACCTTAAGGATTAGTATGGACTAATGCTAGTTAGTTTATAATCTTTTTAATGGATACCAAAATTAATATCAACATAAGGATAAGTTGAGATATAAACTACTGGGATGTCCCCTAATGCATAAATAGTCCAATTACTAACATACCAATCTATTATGGATAATACCCCTATGTTAATAACTATTGTAGGTAGACCACTATATAGTATCAATACACTAAACTAGGCATGGAAATATTATCCATCGTTAAGGTGTATACGTGACCATATATTAATGAGGCCAATATCTCCAAGCATAGCCCCATCACTCTAGTACATTCTTGCCCAAATTATATAGGGTATAACTATTACCAATATGAGATATTAAACATAGGCTAGGATGAGGCTATGCTCATTAATATCATTCTCACTTTACCCTCATCCCTACTTATATTAGACCAGGCATAATGAGTTGGGTACCCCCTTGAGCTTAATGATGGGGAGGGTTATAGGATAAGCCAAACTACTTAACTATTATGACAATGTAATATCCTCGTTATAGCAATAGGTTACCAATTCAATTAATGAATAAGGAGAACATCCCTTGATTCTTCTAAATGTCGAATATATTATAGTAATCCTAACTTTAACTACATAATGGATAGTATATATCAACCTAATTATCCTCCCATTATTTTTAGTAGTTTAAGGCAATATTATTCCATAATATTTATCACAATATAAAATCTACTATCCATTTTAAAAAATTATAAAAAGACATTTATTCTATGCTATCATTAATATTTTATTAATGTAAGTACACCACAATAGGAATGTTTATTGAACCCTTAATAATATTTTTAGTATCAAGATAGGGTTATATATTTGTTCGGATTGGCAATATCACCGTAGGGGATCAATCCTTAAATAATAGAGCCTTAAGCAATCTTGTATAAGAGTACACTATTTCCCTAATATGGCCTTAAGTTTAATCATGGTAGTTAGTAGTTAGGAGGTCTACCATTTCATATAGTGATATCATAAAATGGGTACTCGATGTTAATATTTCATCTACAAAAATATTAAATGTTTACATATCGTTATCATAATTATAATTAGAAATCCTTAGGTTAGTATATACTCGATCTCTTATATTAGGAATATGAGCTATAAATTGGGCAAACTAATTCAAAACCGTTAACTAATGGAGATTGGGACAAAATGAGGATCTACAAAATATCGATCCTTTAATAAGGAGTCGATGGAAAGGGGTGAATACCATTAGTGTTATGCTTAGTGGAATACATTACTCTATTGAACGTAGCGGGAACATATTCGAATATGGTTCACTTAATTATTTTACAATCATGTATTATAGTCCTAGGGAAATACACTAGTTAGGTCCATAAAGAAGAGTAAATAGGGCAAAAAGATAACTCCATATATACGAATTAGTTGATATTAACCTATACGGAATGGCTATTTACCAAAGTCCATACACTAATACATGGGAATTATCGAAATAATCAATAAATAAAGACCATACACTAATAGTATTTACCTCGGGGACATAAGTTAGGTTGGGATAATGATTAGCTTATGATAATCTAATCCCCCTAGGTAGAAAATGATGAATAAGGTACTTATATTAAGAGTGGCTTAGACCATAGATTAAGAATAGGTAATTTGTGATAAACACAACAAGTATATTGAGCATATTATATAATATCGGATTGAGATTATTAGCTATATACTTTTTATCCATCTAGGATTAACTACTCTTATTAATAGGTCACCTCTCTATGAGAGTACTCCTTATTTAATGCTTATAACATGTATCCCCAAAATACACCTAGATCATAGGTAAAAAGTATTGTGATGATGGATTACTTAAGGTTTACACTACAATAAGGAGGTGATATAGTATTTACTGGTATAGATTAAACCTTTCACGGGTATCAATTGGTATGCTTACAATGATTTAGTTAAAAATTACCTTTGGTAACTTCATATAACCATAATTGTGGTATTAAGAAAGAACCTAATTACAAGGGACCATGACCTAGTAGTCCATAAACAAGGGATGATCTCTAATATAATTAAGTTAGCAAGAATCGGCTAATAGGAGAATAATGCCAACAATAATACATTATATCATATGTTTCGAGGAGTACCGATTATAATTCATGAAGCATACCATAGGGTTATTTGTAGGTATATTAACATGTCAAGTCATATTATAGTGATATGATAGATAATCTTGTAGAGAAAACTTTCGTCAATATCAACCATTGTTGAAATGGTAAGGGCTGATAAGTAGAGTTATTAGAGGAGTAAAAGGACATACTTATGTTAAAATACATATAATTAGCATAAGAGGATGATCATTGACCCATATTATAGGTCTTATCCGGAGACCTTACATTATATGATATAGCTATTAATAGTATTGACCTATTATAAACATACATGAAGGGAGTATATGATTAATCATTAGTTAACCTTTTGTTATAGTATAATTATGAAGTTGGTAAATATCGACTATAGTCTCCCCTCCTATTTACTTGGTAGCCTAAACAAAGACTAATTAATTATAGGGTTAAGGGAACATAATATGGAAGATAAATTACGCGCTATTATATATTATTGAGTGATTTGGTTCGTTTGGTGATTATTCATGATGAAGTATGGCTAGGTAAATAGTTATTTATGTAGTATAATATTTAGGGACGATATTTATTGAGAGATAGTAATATGTAGTGGGGATATTTTACTGATTCTAGTCTATCATAAATATCATCTATTAGGTATAGGATCAATATAGATTACTAATTCTCTATTATGGAAATAATATGGACCACATATTTTCGCGTACAAAAAATCCATGCCTAAATAGGTTAAACTAATGATATATACCACTCTTATAATTAAGTTATATGATGTCATCTAAATCTGTTATGATGAGATATATACTTTACTTTGAATTATAGTTAAACAATCTAGGGGTTAAGGTCTTCCTATAGGAGTGGGGTACATTTTACTATAGGATGGCCTTGTATGTATATGAGGCTGATCCCTCTCCAAGCTTATAGCTATAACTTATAGCAAAAGTAATCCTAGGATACCACTTTTCCATCACTCTATTTTTTATAGATTATTGGTCCATAATAGAGTGAAATCCTTAATCAATAGGATATGTCTCCCTTTTTGGCTATAACTTATTCACTCTAGGTAAAATATTAATACCCTAGACATTATTTACCCTTGGAGCTAATATATCATTAATATCAATCTAGTTAGGAATGTATTATCCTAAATACTTATCAATCCTTGGTTATATCTAATAGTATTTAAAGATATTGGTATGATTGTCCAATTCCTTAGCTAAGATATAGTGAAACTTATTCAAAATAGAGTAATGATATAAAGGGACAGGTATTATATATATTTATAATTAAATAGAACATTAGGTTATAGTACTAGGTATTTTATGAGGAATATCCATAATATACCCCGGTTATGATACTCACTATCTAGCAAGATAATTATCGACTATACGTCTCAACCTTGATAGAGTATCCCGTTTCATTCTAGATATATTAATACAAGGTCCCTAATTGTCCTTATTTGTCCTCCGGTAAAAAAATAATTCGTTCGTAGTATGTTTACCTTAATTAGGATAAGGTATAGTCCATCCATATATCCCATCATATATGATCTGATCTCTTATTATTCTTATCTATACTCTATCTCTAGTTATTTGATAACACACTATAGTTATAGTATTAACCATATTGCTATTATAGTGCACCATCTCCACTAAGCTACCCTAACCCTATTAATCTATTACTCATGTCCCATATTAGGTCTTTTCTATCATATGGTCAATAGAGTTGAGATTTAATTTTGATAATATATTGATATAATCCTATAATAGGAACAATATTAAACCGAGTAACCTTTCTATTTACCATTATATCGACTTACTCATTGACCACATAAAGAGGAGTTGAGAATATAGGGGAGACCAAGCTAATGCCCCCGAATACCATTATATACCTTGATAGTAATGATAGACTTAGGATAATTCATGATTGCCTAATATATCCTATAATGATGGTCATAGGTTCCCCATAAATATTGACATGGTATTACGTGTTATATCCAATTAACAATTGTAGCTCTTGTGGACCTATATTATGATTGGTATAGTCCCTATCACTATTAAGCGATCTAAACACATATGTACGGAATTATAAAAAAAAATTGATAACCATAAGTTATCCCACGTGGAATATAAGGCCATATGCTATAGTTTAACTCGGTATTGTTAATATATTATTACCATTAATAGCAACCTAATCTGGTACATACGCTATAAGCCTATTTATAGTGCGGATAGGCCTATCAATTTTGATTAAAAATGGCTTACCCAATTCCATTGAGGTAACCATGGCACTATACTTAAATATATTGTATAATATCAGCCATAATGAACTATATTATAAACCTCTTATAATATAATCATAAATGTGTTTAGGACTATTTAGGGAAAAGACTTGGGATAACTATGATATTCATTATATAGACCCGATTATATTGATAAGGCCATAATAGTTTAATAATACTATCCGGTAATCAATCTATAAGGTTTGAGTGTTGTATGATCGGATTTTTCCATGGAGGGTGTCTTCAAGTTATTCATAATGTATACAATCTATTTGATAAATATTGTAAGCTATTATACCTTCTAAACCATAGGCGGTTGTTCAATAACGAGTTAATAGTAATATGGTGCTATGCCCATATGGTGATATCCATGAACCAATAATCCATTAACACTATATGATTCATTTACAATAAGATGAGTACACAAAGTGATCAACTTTATATTAAGAAATAATCAAACAAGGCATAACTATAAATACATTTGACCAACTATTCAATCGGATAACCTTGATAATTATGTAAAATCTATATAATTATATGCATAATTATGTAGCATGGACAATATACCCTCCCAAAACACGACATATAAATAGTTATTATAGGTGTATAAAGTAGTTATGCTTAAATATTTCCATAAATGGGTACAAAATAGTTATGGTTAAAATTGTAGGGGATCATAGATAGATATGTATAAGATAGCTTATAATTTACCAATAAAATTATCCATACGATATATTCTTCCCACTCGATTTGGTAAGGTTACATTAGCGATAGAGAACTCCTTGTAATGAGGGTACTAGCCTAATAATACCATGAGGCATATATTAAATATCAAAACTCTAATTTGTAAATGTCGAGTTAAATTGATTATTGTATAACCATAAATATGTTATTAGTGTAATTTGATGGCCCATCTATCTAATTCCTCTCCTCAATAATACGTATCCGATTTCTTATGATTTTTTATCATAAGAAAACTACCGATCCCACTTATTAGTCCTCATACATTTGGGGTAGATATTTGCCAACATAATAATTAGTGAGGGATATCTAATATGATATCCTTATTAATATTAACCAAGGAATTAGATAGCTAGGCCATCAAATTACATTGATATTACAATTCTAGGCTCGGAATATTCATGGTATTTAGAGTATAGGCTAAATTATTTCAACTATTTGAGAATAGTTAAGGTTTAATATTGATAGGGTCATAATATAGAGTGAATTAAAGCTTATTTTCACTATTACTATATGGCAATAACCATTAGATAACATATTGATGGGAATAATAATTCGGATGATTTATAATGTATTTATGTTTCTTGTTCCTAGAAGAAAAGTACACCATCTATATTACGGTGAGTTACCCGCCAATAGACTACCCGATATGGATTATCAAGTATATAATGATAATTAGAATAAGAATTAATCATGCCTATCTTTATTCCATACCTTGTTCGCCCCTAATGTAAATTATGTTATTATAATTGATCGCCCCTAATGTAAATTATGTTATTATAATTTATCGATATTATACTTTCATGGATAGTACATAAGCATACCTATAAGTCGGGACCATAAATAATGGGATTGATATGGTATAAAGAATTCATCTAAAGATAGGCATGATTAATCACATAAATGGGGTTAACCCTATAGCTCACCATGATATGAACTAGTTAAGCCTAAATATGTGACTATATAGTTCACCTCTATATTATTTCACTTATAGGGTATATTAATTATAATATATGGGTTTTTTTTTTTTGTTCCTAATATCCTATAGGTGATTCACCATTTAGTCTATTAACAATTGGAATATTTATTATAAAAATGTGGAGACACCATAATACCTTAGTCCGAATAGGTATAGGGATACCTTATGATAATATATCTCCCAAGTATAGATAATGGCTTTATAATATTGTTATTAATGAGGTATTTCCCAGTGCCATTATGTGGTATTTCCTAGGCGGACCTAGGAGTTGGAAAAAAAGGACCATATACTCGGTTAATAGTAATGCGTTAGTTCAATATTTATGTCTCCACAATTTTATTGTGTCATATGGATTAACATTTATTCAAAATTAGATTGATCTTATATTCCATTGGCTATAATATATAAGGGATTACAACTAGATAATTTGTTTATGTTGATAGTATAGAAGATTGTCAAGATAGTTAAGATAGGATAATACATAATTAGAGCATTAGTGATGTCGACTACTGCTAATATGCTCGAACTAGAAGCTTATAATTCAATAAATCATTTGAATAACCTTTTGGTTTGTAAGATTAATATGCATAAATATCATAGGTATATCTATAATTACTTGATACTCATTAATATACACATAAGTTTCAATTAGATACTTTGCCCATGTTCGGGACTCGGTAAGTGACTATTACTCCATGTTGACCACTCGTATAATAAATGTTCTAAATATAAGGTATCAATAACATAACATTAAATCACGTATAGGGTATATGTTTACTATGGGATAGTTGTTACTAAAGGGACTATGGTATCGACTACTATTGTCACCCAATTAATAGGCCCATAATAGGGAAAAGCATGAAGCTAGGCTATATTAACCACCTACTATCCATATTAATCAGCTTTATGATACACGATCTTGTAGATTAATATGGTTATAATATTGACATCAAAATCTAAGCTATCCAATTGCATAGGTGTTATACCAAATGTTTAGCCTCGTAATCTACCTACGTATTAGTAATTGCAATCGATAGTAGGTATTCCAGATCACAATTAGTATTGGAGATGAGGGGCATATATATAGGAGAGAGTGACATTACTAATATGTAGGTCGGCTATCCTATATATTAAAGATAATAACTATTAATTATCCTTCCCAATATAGTCTTAATATTATAGGCATAAAATACATTTCTAGAGTTAATTACCATTAATTGTATTTGACATAAATGGAACACCCTATTTGGCATCATTAAATCGTTATGGTGAATATTTCTCAATGGGGTATAGATGGTCATAGAAATGCCACAATGGAAGGGATTATATTATTTAAGGGTCAGTACATAATATTTACCCCATTTGATGAGTCACCCATTGATATTAGTTCATACTATTATATTTACCCAATAGTAATATATAAATGATTATACACTATTTAGCGAAAACTATTATTTGGATAATAATTAGATAAGCCTATTTTAATGCATAAATTATATATCTTATCCACTTTATGAATTAACTAGGTGTTTTAATTTAGGACATAATCATTTATATACTATATATTGATAGATCATACAATTGCAAAATATTAGTTGTTTATCAACCTCCCAAGTGACAATATGCTTGTTATGAGGAAGGATAATAACCATTGGACATATTTAGATGTTAGCATGGGTGGCACTCATTATTAAGTGAGTAACTTTTTCATACAATTGCAAAATTTGGTACTCAAATAGATTCATTACCAATAATCGTAATTATTACCCTTATTTTAATATTGAGCATAATTATATGAATGGCCACAATCATGCTTACCATCTCATTACATGGGACTTAATATCCATTGATTATTAGTAATAATTACGATTGATAGTTATAATGAGTCTTATATTGGAGTACCTTTTAACCTTAAATGTTATAGCATACATAACAATCACCAGATTGTATTATTATAGTCGTTGTATTAATGAGATCGTATTAATAGGGTGACCCTAAATAATTTGACTATATATTTAGTTGGAAATGATGGAAGGGATTATCCGAATTTGCTAGAAATTCATAACCCATGTATAATAATACTATCTAGTGAATTTTCCAAATATCCATATTTACCTCTCTCCTTAGTGTGCAATGATTTATCATAAATTGGACCTATAATAGGTTGAATTAAGGGACACCTATCATTTTGTAAATATTACTATATGTCTTTTTACAATGGAACCATCTCTTAACAAATATTACCGTATGTCTTTTACTCTATGTTAAGACTAGAGGCCTATTAAGGGAAAACTATATGGAGTGCATATTCATATGAGTTTGGTGCCATACCATGATTTGGGGTACCATAACATCAACTAATATTATAGAGTGAATATGGAGAAAAGGATAATGAGTTACCACTAACATGGGAAAAGTATATTAACTACTATTAGGATATGATAATAGAGCCAACGATTTATGTATCTAAATGAGCTTTTGATATCAATATTATAACCATATTAATCTACATTATTGTGTACCATAAGTTGATTAATCTAGGAATAATTTTGATAAATTTCCTATGATCTACAGGAGAGGTATCCATAATGTTTTTTCACTCTAAGCTTATAATCATGAATAGATTATAAGTCTCAATTATATAGGGAAAACCTATAACTTGTAAACCGAGGGTGATGCTATTAGTTAGATTGAGCTATTATATTAATCTAAGGATGACCCTTTTTTTAACCATGGATACTCTCATGACCTTACTATAGTTAATTTCCTATATTCCTATTAATATCACTCTAGTACTATACTGATTACAATGCACACATCTTTTATATTCAATTATGGTTATTATCTAAACTAGTAAATATTGGTTAACTCTATTGGGGTATTAGGTAACCAACACCCATTATTAAATAGCTATAATAGGGAGACATTACTATATAGATTACAATGCACATATCTTTTATATATGCCGATATAATAACCTAGTGATGTTGACTCATCATAAATATTGCATAATGGGCCATCTCTCTAGCCATACTAATGTAATATAAGTATAGTATATATTACTTAGGAGATAGATCTAACTATGCTTATTAGAGGGACCCTCTCTATACAAATATAGGACTATTAATTATAATGGAGTGCAATAATCTATGAGGGTATAGGTATGTCTCTTCACGAATGTAACTATTACTTGTGAATAAAATAGTTAAGAGGATCATAAAGGGAGAGAATGATAGAGAGGGTGATCTATATTAACCTTGTAAGATATTATATCGATGGATATTTTTTTTAGCAAGTATTAAAGGAGGAAGGTAAATAATGATTCAATGGAAATTGTAACCAAGATACCTTTAGTGTGGATAATATTGAGCAACTCTTTTTTTTGTTTATGGATTCGTTAAAACATACATGTAGAAATCCATTATTGGGTTAATCATATTATCCTATTCTCGAATATATTCAATGAGGTAATTATCCCTTGTATATCATTATTAGGAATGAACAAAATAATAATTTCAAATATTCGAGTATAGATCACGGACCTTAGAGTAAAGATATTAATTAAGAGAGGGAGAGTATTAATTGGTTAATTATACCTTATTAATTAACAAGTATTATAATTCGAACACTATATGAGAGACATATATACTTACATAGGTTTTTTTTTCCCATTATACTTATTTATCATCTCTCCAGGTTAATACCCTTATATAGTAATATCCCTATGACCCAATAGTTATCCCTAACTATAATTCACATTACTATTCCTATATGCAAATATAATTTAAGAACACCTTTCTTATAGTCAAATATAATTTACTAATATAACTTATAGCACACCTTTCTTATAGTCAAATAGCTTTAATAAGTCGTTATAGTATTTGCCAACTAATGATAATGTAAGAACAACCTAGGTTGAGAAAGGTTTACAATGAATATTATAAATGTTTACTATCATCTACCACCATATATGGTCGATTAGACCATATGATATGAGTGGATATAATTAGATAATATCCCTATAATGGTGAACAATAATTATGAAGGATTATACTAACTCTAATAAAAGGTTAATCTCCCAATTATATGTGGCTACACTCTAATGATATATGACCCATGATGGATCTTTCTCCAAGTCAATGTGCCTTCACTCTAAGGGTATTACCTATAGTAACAAGGTGATAATGAGAATACAAAGATCATAATTGTTAGTAAGGACTCTTATGCGGAGAATATGATGGTCCTTAACCAATAGTTAATCTCCCCTTTGCAATATCACCCATTCAAAAGGTTCCATTATCATTGTGACACATATAGAGGTTATTTATCAATACATATTGTCAATCTCTACATAAGGTGATATTACAAAGGAGGTGATAGTCCTTGGGTGATATTACTTTTGATGGGTATCTCTAAGTAATTAATAACCACATAACTATTGGGTTTAGCATGTTTGTCCTATAATTAGCCTTATTTTATTCGATATTTTCAAGTGATATGACTATCGAAATTCACATTCTAAGGTGTACAATATTAACTCTATGACTTTGCTATAAGATTTATTATGGATAATAATCAACCTTATCTATAAATCCTAACACCCTAATTATGCTAATACCCTATAAACATAACCTACAATTTACCTATTAAATTATGCCTCTACATTGTATAGCCAATTTTAGTTTAGGGACCAATCTAATTCCCCACTCAATCTCACATTTATATTGATTTTTCAATAACCATCTACTATGATATGCACACTATGAGTGATTTGCCATTTAATAAACTTCGGGGTTTGGTCCCTAACCTAAAATAGTTATTACAATGTCTTCCTACCCTCACTCCGTTATTGATTAGTCTCAAATATACCCATGTATTGTTATTGTTTTACAATTCTCAGTTGGCTATAATATATAAGGGATTACAACTAGATAATTTATTGATGTTGCTAGTATAAAAGATTATCAAGATAGTTAAGACAGGATAAGACATAATTAGGGCATGAGTGATGTCGACTATTGTTAATAGAGCTGAACTAGTTTGTATTATGCATCTTTTAATATTCAAATTGTCCTTAGAGTCATAAGCCCCATTTAAATATTTATAATTATTAAGTAATTATAAAATGAGGGAGAGACATTAATCATAATATATTATCCTACATTTAAAAAAGCTGCATGTATCCTCTCTCTCTCTAATTGTACCCGATGCGGTAACCTAAATACTCCCTATGAAGATAAGTCAACCAGTTCATAATTGTTTATTATCCCCCGAGTCAAGAATAGTACCTCTAACTAATGCCTATTTACGATTACACCCTTTATCCTAGTAGAAATAATTATTAAGCATTGTTAATACTATTCTTTATATGACTCATTGTATGCTTAGCAAATGACTATTTTACCCTCGAATATAACCCTAGACTAATGGATAGTAGGATATATTTATAATGTATAAAATTCTAATTTGATAAATATTGTAATTTATTATGCTTCAAAACCATAAGCGATACTAAAATGACCTAATACCTTAGTATTATATGGCCTTAATGGTTGTAACATTATGGATAATATTCACTCTTATTAAAGTTATAATGAGAAGATAGTCCATTTCTACTATCCATCAGTCCACTATTCCCACTATCTATACTATATACTTATGCGATTAACTATATCCCCAAAGATAACACTATTATGCTCGAATTTATATTCGCTTACCATTAGGGCTATAAATAGCATTGATCCGATAGAGTTTTCTAATCATTATATCAATGGGGATTCTAATAAGGTAATAAGCACTATTATAAGTTGATATTATTAATTATGAAATAATCCTATATACTATCCACATCTCTCCGAATTTCTTTGATTATATAAAGCTATAATATCCCTAATACATATTAAAATCCCTATATACTTTGGCTCATTTGATAAGTAATAGGGCCTAACATAACAATCCAAAGGGAGTTAACCCTAGGTCCATAATCTTTAATATATATGCAAGAGTAGGTATACCATATGATTCTTATAATAACTCTATTGGTATGACCATTAGTATACAATATAAACTATATTAAAAAGGGATAATTGTGAGTCAACTTTCAATCTTATAGTTACACGGCATATATCTCTAGGTAACTATTAAAATGCATATCCATTTTCTTATTAATGGATACTCATATGATAATATTTTTAATGTGATCTTAGGGTACTAATACACCGATTATAGAACTCACTTAATCTAGTAGACACAATATTATCCTATATTAACTATGACCTAATTGCCGTGTAATAGTATAATTATTAACAAAGAACAATTATCATATCTTATTGCTTCCATTGTTATGAATAATTGTATATTATTATCGGGACCCAATATATTAACATACCATAATAAAAGTATTTAGAGTGTAGGTGAATCAATATCCTATTACTTATATAATAGTTCCAACTATCATTTGAAAATTTAGGAATAATTTACCTCTGTATGAATATATTAAGTTTTTCCCATTTATGGCTATATGTCATCTTTACCCTAATTATAACCATCATCTCCCCATTATATTGACATCCTCTCCCGGTTAGGTGTACTAATCTATTAGTGATATAATCATTATCCTAATTAATCTCCACATTCGGACATATTGGGAGCCATTATTCCATATGTAATATAACCGTTATATTAAGGTTGATTGAATAAATGATTATCCTCATATAATCCCCCTCAATACCCCTTACGAGATCTACATATAAAATAACTAATATATGTCACTCCCTTCCAAACTAGGCTTATATCAAGTACCCATTATATGATATATCTAGGTAGCCTAAACAAGAACTCGATTGATTATAGGGTTAGGGGAATATACTATGGTAAGAATCCACAAATAAGGATGGATCTCTTTTAATATAATAACCAATGGTAAGTTATTTTAATGGTAGGTAAGGCTAAGGTTATGGGTGGATTATATCGGACTAAGTTATTTCCCTCAATATAAGAGATCGAATAAATCTTGATCATCCTAATCTATGAATCTATTAGTTTAGCTAGGTATGTATTTTACTAAATAGACTCTACAGAGAGATACAATTTGCCATATATAGTTACCATAATAGGCCTATAATAGAACTTAGTATTGAACGGCTATAATTAATCGGCATTCATTAACAAGAGGTATTTCCCCAAAACATGATGATTCCTCTATGCCCGATCATATTCTCTATCGAGTTATGTTAATAACTCGATATTTACAAATTAGATTTTTGACATTTATGATATATAATCAATTATGTATATTCCACTTATAATATTCTTTAGAGTTCTTAATAGATGATATCTCATTACTCTCCTATATACTTAGTTAATTCAATCGACACTAATAGATTGTCCTTTAATTAGTTGTTATGCATAAATTATATAACCGATTATCATGCCAATTATTCGGGAGAATGAGTTAACTATAAAGACATTATAGAGAGTTCGCCCGGAGGTATCAATTATTAACTAGTGTATGGTCCCTTTCCCCTATGGAATAGTAATATGTTACCCAATCATAGTTGACTGGCATTAATCATTATTTGATACTATTCTCCCATGTCATAGATAATGATCTCTCGGGAGTCATAAATAGGGGCCGATCGTTGCCATCTTAAGATTTAGGTCCTAATCGGGTATAATATCATTGTCCGGTCCGATAATAACTCAAATAACCATTATAGGACCTTGCCAAGAAGAAGGAGATAATAGAGGAATATGGCTCATATATATTACCCAATACCATTCTATTATCCTTAATTTACCCTAATAAGGATACGCTCTAATGATTATATAAAATTATATGAGAATAATTGGTAACACTAAATTCAACTATCATTCTTTTATATGGGATTAGGGCTCAATGGATTATCCTATGTTGAGAAATGTATCCTACTGATAGCTATTAATCCTAAAATATTTGGTCTAATAAGCGAGTATTTCACATAAGAGGGGAATTAGTCATAATTAGAATAATAGGTCTATGATAAAACATGGGCAAAGTATCTATAGGGATATTTATCATGGGCAACGATTATATAAACCAATAGGGAAAGGTATCATAATAATCTATTTCATTCCTATAGTTATAGCATAGCCAGAGGAACATCCAAAATTAACTTTTGGATTTATAAAGTATTACTGTTATTTTAATAGACATGATTAAACATTAGATTAATACCCACCAAATGTCATTACTCTATCATTTACACTTAATCGACCTATATAAAGCTATTAACCACATTCAAGCCCAATATATTTGATTATGCCCCTATAATAGGGGTCTATAGGTTATAACCCTAACAATTATCGAGTTTATTATCCGAAAAATATAATACCCATGTATAATATTGATTATACCATTAAGCATAACTTAGGGAGTTTATGATAAGCTATAGAGAAATAAATTAGACAGTATGCATAATTGATTATTAGTCAGCTCATAATATCTCTATAACAAAGGTATATGGCCAAACTTCCATTAGATATACAGAGGTAAATTATATAGCCTCTGAATTTGGCCAATGTCTAAATACACTCTCGTAATGCTATAAATATGACATGTGTATTAGTCCCTCATGATGTTACTGGAGAAGAAACTTTACAGTATATAAAATAATTACCATATATTCATAGGATATGTGACCTAGGATTAATTATTAGCATTATTAGTAATTATTAGCAACAAGATTAATAGATAATAGGCTAAATATACTATATATAAATGCTTATCTGCCAATATAATTTACCCATAAGGTATATCATGGTGGGCCAATCAGGGACAATGGTATATTTAATTAAGGGTAGTGGGCCGTCTCTACCTTGGTTAGTTTTTTGTTCTTAATACTGTCAACGTATTAATTATAAATGATTTATAATATCAACAATTAGTAGCCGAGTATACTCTATATATCTAAGGCCATATATTATACAGATTAGTGTTATATAAACCTATCATCCGGTTGTAATTACATATACCATGGTCACCTATATGTAATATATATGAGATTAATTGATCACTATATTACCTATAAATAATGATTACTATATAAACCTATCAATAATGAGAGGGAATTGCAAATATTCTGAGTGGATTACTAGCCATGACCTTATAGGAGGCTATGTCCTCCTAAACCATTTTTATTTAGATTGAAACTAAATAATTATCTATAATTAACGATTACTATATTATACATCATAAAATTATACTTATATTCCCAATTAGGGGACGTAATAGCCCCCTAATAAATATTTTAGCCCTATAATGCAAACCGTTACGGCTAGTCCTATTTTATAAATAGATGAACCAATGTTCAAAGAGTTGTAAGCAAAAATAGATGAACCAATTGCTAAGCTTCCTATAAGGTCAATATTACGATTTGCCATAGAATGCACAAATATCCTTGTTAGACATAAAATATCTAGTAACCTATCATCACTCATAGATAATGTACTCATAATGTACTCATCATAGTATATTAAGATAGAACGGATAGCTATCAACTTTATATTATCGCCCTATCACATGATAGGGTGATAATATAATTATGAATATTATAGGAAGGTACCATATATGATTAACGAATTATGATTAGTACATTATCTATTATTCCTTCCAATAGAGAATGGCCTATTAAGATTGTTCCCCCTAACAGTATTGAGTGATCATATCGATCATTATGCCCGTAATTATAGGGTCATTGTTAAAATATCACAACTATGGAATTTCTTAATGGATATACTATTGTATGAGACCCAAATATATGCCACTCTCTAGAGAAATTGATCAACCTACTAGTGGCCTCTACTATCTCCTTGTAAGATAGTATAACTTTGTAGATATATTAGGGGTAAGACAATAACGATTTCCACATGGTAATAAGATTCCAATAAAAGAGGGGTTAATACTATCACTCATACAATGGTGATATAAGGTTAATATGGAGGCGTACCCCACTCCAATATCATTCCATTTGGAAAAGTATATGGATTAATTGATAAGTCTGAATTTATCTTAGTTTAATATATTACCCTATATGGTGTCTAACATAAATTGGCATTCAAGTAATTGGGCTAATAGAAATGTCAAAATATTTCTCTCTTAATCACCAAAATCGCATCTAATGAGATGGTAAGCGTGATAGTGGCCATTCTAATGGATAAATTGATGGCTAGTAATCTTTTATTGTATGACCCCTATTGGGGAAATAAAGTTAGAGTATATCAGCCCAAGATAGTCACCAAAATAGCTATAAAATACACCTTGGGCCTTGCATCTAGTCTAATTGATATACTTACGATAGAGAGAACAATAAATAGGTGTATTTTAAACTCATAGGAGAGTTAATAATGATTTTTTAATATCAATATAAATGTTCCTTTTCATGAATTAAGTCTATAGGGAATCGACCTAATGTAATGGCAAGCGATCAACTTACCAATTAATGTCACTAATAGTCATTTCACTATCATCCTATAACAGCTATGGCCATAGAAGGAGTATTAACACATCTATAGATTACTTTCAATTATGGTAGTTAATTAGCATTGATACCATGTTGACCATATTAAAGGAGAGGTAACTCTTGTAAAAACATATACATGGACTAATATTAGCATTGATCAAGCATTAATACTCGAGTTATAATAGGGGGAAAAAAAACTATAAGTATTGTACATTTTAAATACCAAGGTATAATCTAGGTTAGTCCTCCCATTAATATCAATACTAGTAATACCTGCGTATTCGGTAACTATTAGAATATAGATTAACTATTATATGCCGAATACCTGCAATAGGCTATTCCCATCTAAGTAGAATAATAAGAGGTGTATCGGTAGCATATTTATAGATATTTGTCCATGTATATGTTTTTACAAGAGTTACCTCTCCTTGAATATGGTCAACGAGGTACCAATGCTAATAAACTATAATAATTGAAAGTAATCTA